CACTGCGCTATGGAATCATTTGAGGCTGAGTCGACCTAGGGGAGGCCTAGGACGTGTTCTGATAATCCTCACTGATGTTGGTCGAAGCACAGTGCGCAAACCACTGCGCCACACTCAACCACTCCACCACTCCACCACACACTCAGACTTCAGGCCAGCAACACCACTCTGGCACACAGATACGACGGCTCATCAACATCACTCGTACACTCACATTACGAGCCAAGCACGTCACTCTCGGACTCGGGCACCACAGGTCAGCCACATCGCTCGCACACACTCACACCAGAGGGTTATCCCCGCCGTGTTCACGCACACCACGCTCAGTGGACCACTCGCACACCGCGTGTTCATCACAACGCTCTTACGCACACGGGTCAGGCACACCCTTTACACAGGCACGCACACCAAGGGGGGGGGCCACACCACTGTCAAGTCCCACAACCACCAGCAGCAGCAGCAGCAGCCACAAGGCTCACACACACCGCAAGGTCATCCACACACAAAGCCACTCAACAGCGTATCTGGCGCCTATGTAAGGGCGTGCAGGCACCAGAGGGATGGACCCCGTCCCTTGACGATTGATCCCACCTCACTCACTCTTCGCGTGCCCCCTGTCCCTGTGAATCGACAGCGTCCGAGGTCACCGACGCGTGGTATAGCGAAATTGGACGACACAACTTCGACATCCTGAGCCCTCAGCCCGAGTCCGGTAAGAGCTTGCATTGTGTCCACTCATGAGGACTTCTTCATCGCCTTGACCTCCTCGACGCTGTGATGGAGAGAACAGGCTGGGCGATGGAGGTCGCATATTCATCAGACGATTATATTGACCACAAGCACGTAATGACGCATCTCTCCATGCATTCAAATTGACTCGGTCTCCCGGAACATGCGTTGAATTGTGTAAGAATCGATTGTTTAGAATATGCTGAGTCAGACTAAAACTCAGACTAATGGAGCTTAGGAAATTGTACAAACGATACGGAAAAGAACACGCAATACAAAAGAGATGGTTAAAAGGAGATGATGGAGAATCAATTCTCCAGTTAAATTGCGAGTAAAACATGGCAATTACTGGGCAGGCGGAATAGTTACACGTTGAGTGGGGACAATGAGGACAATCACGATGATGTCTGTTTTATTTCACCTCCTCATGAGCAAGGTTGGTGATGCTAAATGCGGTAAAACTCCAATGACATTCTGAGATGTCTTCACGCATCAGTGGCCAACACGTGGATCGTGATTGTGATCCACGGGTGGATGATTTTCTTGGTTCTTTCGGTAAAGTCACGTAGAAGGGAAGTAATAAAATAATAAAAATAAAACATAATAAAACAATTCTCACGACGTTTCGGCCACAACGCAAGTATCCGTCCTCAGGTGAAAACCAGGTCTGTCGAGGCGACAGCGGGACGATCGCCAAATAAATTTTTGTGGATCTCGAGGACAAATAAGAACACTTAAAGCCAGCAGACAACAATTATCTTCATGGCTTATGGCAAATACAAAGCCCTGACTAAGAATTCATAGATTAAAAAAAAAGCTTCTGCCAATAGGTGATGCTCGTAGTGTCATTCTATTAATCTATAGCAAATACGATACCATGTTTAAAAAAAACAACATCTCAATTTAACGCTTTTTTTCATATGCAGTCACTTGTGGCAAGGCAGGATATTTTTTTTCTTAAAACAGTGGTTGGTACAAGAAACGGAATCTAGCCACGTAAATAACGTAGCTTTCAGCGTTTAACAAATCTTGCTCGGACATACAGGGTTAATTCAGTAATTATTTGCCAGAGATTTTGAGGAGGGGGGGGATCATCGCAAAGCGCGTTGACATCCATCGCAGTGGATCGCCCGCTTGCTGATTGGCCACTGCTGTCTTTTCGTTGAAAAGTTCAACCAGAATTTTTTAGGATTCAATATTTTCTGCCAACTGGACTTTGGCGAAACAAACGACTTCAACTAATTAGCCAGGTAAAGCCCACGAGCCATTCGATATGTTTTAGAGGCGACCTGGCCACGCATAGCTCATCTAAGTAGTTTCATCATCACACGTGGAATCATGATTTTTTCAACTTGCAACACACTTAACTTACAATATCATCGTCGTCATAATCATCGCGACAGTATCAGTGCAAATACGGAATTACTGGAGGGAGCAAACACCACGTGCTTCTTATTGGGGTGGGAATGAGAGGAAAACTTAAAGTTATATTAATCATCGACTGCAACATCTTTTTGTATTCGCCTGTTTGAAAAAGTAAATATTCCAAGGACAAAAATAACTTTAAATATTAAATTCTGAAATGGCCAGGAGACAGCATTATAGCAAGGGATTTTCAATTTGTCCTTTGTAGATATTGAATGTGAACCCATTGTTTAGAATATCTCCTGCAGGAAATTATTGTGCCCATCCATACTCACTCACAAAGAGACCTGGCCAAACATCTTTAAAAAAAGTGTTGAATCTTAGAGTTGGTTACCTGGATAAGGTTTATAAAAAACATTACATCTACTTTTTATAATGAAACAAACATTTTGTGTCTATGCTAAGTCGACCTTCAGAGCGCAGGGCAACTGCTGCCATTAGTGAATTCTGAATGATCTCCCCTGCACATCGCTGCTGGTAAGAGGAGTTTCTGCCGCGTCGGCCGGGAGCACAAAGCTCGGCATCGTGTGTCCGTTCGGGCTACGTAACGAGACGCCCTGCGCCGCAGCTCGCTTCTGCCAACTGGTGTGGAGGGCCTCGCAGAGACTCGGGGTCGGCCGTGCCGTCAGCCCCCAGGGCTGCGTGGTGGTCGTGGCCCTGTACGACCCCCCCCGCGCTCGGGCAACGGTGCGCGACTCCCGGCAACGATGCCGACATGATCGCCGTCTCTCCGGTGGCAGCGCCGAACGGAAGTTGTGTCCCGGGGACAGAAGCGGTGGACGAAGACTGCGGCCCCGAGGGTGCAGAATCGGCGGACGATGACGATTGTGTACTGGGCGGTGGACGCGGGGGTGATGCTTACCGTGGACGACGCCTCGGGGCGTTGGGAAGTCGGAGAAGTCGTCCCTCGTCGAAGGGGTTCCGGAAAGCGAGGGCGATGGAGATCCAGAACGTTCCGTGGCAGAAAGCACGGCAACCGTGATGGGCGAATCGGCAGGCACACGTGCCGTGGGTACACGTGGCAAGACCGATGCCTCGAGTGAGGATGGCACCAAAGGAAGGCCATGCCGAAATCAGTTTCCTTCTTGTCACTTGGAGATGCCCCCTGGACAATGGAGCTGCTGTCGATGCAGTCTGCCGACACAGACTTGGACACAGAGGAGAGCTCGGGCACAGAAACTCTGGTGATGGATTCAGACAGAACAACTTGTGAAATAATGGAAAGATCTGAGGCGGAAGCAATTGAAGAGCTCCCGTGGGTGGTAGAAAAGGGGGGCATGGAGGTGCAGGCTCATGTGAAGGAGTGGGAAGAGAAGACACTCTGTTGATGGAGAAAATTCTAGACGAGTCCTCGCCCAAAAGAGCACACCGGAGGTGGAGATGAAGCAGAGATGGTGGCTGGGAAAGATATCCGACAAGCGGTAGAGGAAGTCTTGAACGTAGCTGGCGGCGGTGGCGTGGAGCCCAGCGACAGCGGAGTGGAGTCTGAAAAGACAAAACGACCACGCTCCGACGTGGAAAACGGGACTCCAGGGATGATGGCAGCGTGACAGTGGCAGAGGTGACTTGTCGGAGGGCAGCAAGGGCAGCGGAAGTGACACACAGAGAAGTGAGGGTGAAGGCGCCGGGGAGCGCTCTCGCGACAAAATTGGGAGCAGCCGCGGGAGGCGTGAAATTCGTGCCGCCACGGCGAGACGAGGCGCCGAAAAGCGCTGGCGAGGGCCGGGAGAGGGCAGACTGCTCCGCGCCCGGTGCACCCACCGTAGCGTCTGGGTCAAAGGTCACGGCAAGGACGCCCAGGGCAGAGGTGGTGCTGAGCAATGTGGTGGGCACGGAGGCGCTGATCAAGGCCACGCTGGTGGGAGATGCGCTCTCGGAACTCTACCGGAGGAACGTGCTGCCCATGGTGAGGAGCACACCCTGCACTCCCCAGCCGCATGCGCAGCTCCACATCTCAGGTGACTATACGTGCGTGTCTGTGCGTCAACAGACACCTGTAGACCTTGCGGGGAGCGGTGGGGGAGTGCTGAGAGCACTGCACCACGAACCCGGGCCACCCGAATTCGGTTCCCGCTCACGGCCAACACCGGTGACGTATATCAGAACCGGTCATGGGCCTTCCCTAGATCGACGGCCTCAAATGAGAAACTGCTGTGGTCTGTAAACATCGCCACTGGGGTGACAAAGGCGGTTGGTGTTGGTGCTGAACATAGTGGCAGAGAGAGATAGGCAAGTTGTGCTATGAACTCCATGAGCTAAGTTTTATTCCAGGTCACATCTTACATCAGTGGCGAGTGTTGTTTGAACTGATTCCTGGGCCAAAAAAGGCATGGGGGAGGCCTTCATCAAGCAGTGGAATTACAAATGGCTGAATTCTTATTCATGATTACCTCCATTTCATCTCCATTCCTCCATTATCATTACCACCTCCTCAACAATTTCCACCTCCTCCATCTCATCTCCATTCCTCCATTATCATTACCACCTCCTCAACAATTTCCACCTCTTCCATCTCATCTCCATTCCTCCATTATCATTACCACCTGCTCAACAATTTCCACCTCTTCCATCTCATCTCCATTCCTCCCGCCCTCCTCCCGTCCTCCCCCTCGCCGCTGCCATCGCATCTCAGAGGAGGACCAGGAGGAGTTTTGTATGGACGTCCTGGCGGAGCACAACCGCCTGCGCGAGATCCACGGCGCCCGGCCTCTGCGGCGGAGCGTGGCCCTGGGCCGGGACGCGCGCGCCTGGGCCCGCGTGCTGGCACGCTCGCGGGCGCTGCGGTCCCACCCCACCGTGCCGCACGGCCAGAACGTGTGGGCCAGGCACATCGGCACGGGCGAACTGCCCAAAGGTGGAGATGGGGAGGGTGCGGTGTAAGAGGCGGCGGGGTGGGGGGACTGCGGTGGGGCAGATGGCCCCATGCCCTTCGCACGTACCGTTGCGTTCGCGTGGTTCGATACCGACCCTGACGCCAATGGTCGCGTGGATTTTTCTCCGGGTCCTCCGGTTTTTCACCTCCACATTTAGAAACATGTGTTTAGAGTATTTGCCTGCCATACATTTCCACACGTGATAAGCCACTTCGTTGGGCTATCATTTGTGACCAGGTCACTTCTTAAAACGAGTTCGAAAGCTCGGTGAGCCTTGCCTGCTAAAGTCGAAATAGTTTAGTTTAAACCGCAATGTTAAGAGAATCTGGCCCAGAGATTTCCTCATGTTGAACCGACTCTGTTGAAATTATGCACTCCCAAAAGGCCACATGGCCAATGGAATGTACGAAAAAAAGATATACTTTCATATATCACGTGGAGAGACAGATATGTGAAGGAGGCATATTTATTTTGGCGCACACATGAGGTACGTGGGTATCGTGATAATGTGACATTTGATATTATGGGTTTAATAGAAGCGTTTCCATCCTCACGATGTAATAATTGATATTATGAGTGTACCGTCAGTTTAGAGGTGTGCTGATGACGCCTAAACCACAATCTGCAGTCCCCAGCAGCTCTGGATCCACTTAGCCATGGCGCGGAGGTGCTCAGATTGACTCGGTACGAACGTGATGCCTCATGGATTTGACCATCGCTGTGCTCAATATGCAGACTCTGGTGAATCACACCTTGAGCAGGATCGATCGGCCAATGGCTCTTTGAGTTTTTATTGCAAAGCGCCCCTTGGGATGCCTGCGCATGAAGAGTGCTGTATGACAGCCAACTGTTTTTATTGTCAAACATAATTTGGAGCTTTCGTGACTGCAGGAATTACGCGTTGGTTCTTCGGTAAAGTCACGTATAAAGATAAAATAATAAATTAAATACTAGCATACGACGTTTCGATTGCAACATAAGCAATCATCATCAGGTATAAATGAAATAGAAACACAAATCTAGTATAAGTCAACATGTTATCCGACTCTCTGTTGTATTACATTACATTTCTAAGTATATTAGATTTGTCTTTCTATTTCATTTATGCCTGATGATGATTGCTTGTGTTGCAATCGAAACCTCGTATGCTAGTATTTAATGTATTGTTTTATTGTCACTGCAGGACGTAAGGTCACCAACTGCTGGTACGCGGACCGGCTGGCCTACGACTACAACAACCCGGGGTTTCAGCAGGGAACCGGTAGCGCAGACCCCACACATGACACCTGCCACACACTCTCTCTCCACACCCCCTCTAACCCAACATTCTTTAGGACTACCCTTTGGTGACTAAGCCTCATCTATCACTTTACCCATCACTATCACCTTGACCATCAGCATTTGATCTTAAAGCTTAAGTTGCACGCACATGTGTTGCCGTCTTCAAATCTTGTGGAACTTCCCATGTTAAAAACTGCAACTTTGTTGCTTCTGTTTCGCAACAAATTTGCGCGCTGTTGGGCCACTGAACTCATTCTTGGGCTTTTTTTTCTCCCAAAAAAGAGGCTGAGTGGATTTAAAACTGGAGAAATAAAGTTTCTTTGGGATCTGAAATCACAGCAAAATTTGTACACAATCGTTTGTAGTCAGAACAGCTCAGTAATTGGCTGGATGAGGTCATATGCGTCGTGTTGGTAACGAAAGGCTATTTTACAATATGGCCAATGGTTTACTTCTTGGGATGGAAATTGTCAACAAAAAAAATGTTTAATCTCTCTTTTTGAAGGTAGACAACAAAACTAACTATGGTTGTTTTCTTTATTTTTTTTTATAATGCCCCCAAATGTTAATTTCATGCTTTGGCTGGAAAGGTGTATTTCCTTACTCAACTCCTAAACTAAAGATTTGCATTCAAGTAATCAGCTGTTGCTTAACTTCTGACTCGTGATCCTCATGCGTGATGTCGCAACTACGATCCATGTTCTGCCATTCGCGACCCCTTCTGTGACCTGTGACTCAAATTCATGACCTTCACCCTTAACACAAGCAAACTATGGTCTGTGACCTTAGAGCGAGTATCCTTGTGACCCCTTTGCTCTGTGACCCCTTGACCCGTGACCCCAGGCAACTTCTCCCAGCTGGTGTGGCGCAGCTCCCTCGATCTGGGCGTGGGGCTTGCGTGCGACGGGCGAGGCATGTTCGTGGCCGTCGCATTCTACAGCCCCGCGGGAAACCTGCCCTACGCCATGAGCTACCGCGACAACGTGCTGCCCCCATACACGCAGGGCATGGCTAAGGGGCAGGGCTAGGAGGGGGGGAGGTGCAACGTGACTTGAGGGCACGCTCACGGAAGAAGAACGTGGGTGAGGGCAAGGGAAGTGCTGAGGCGAGAGGAGAGGGATGAGGTTGAGAGGCTCGCACAGGGAGCTGGCTGCTCATGGGGAGGGAGGAACACAGCTCAGGGCAGGGGCCGGCCTCAAGGGCAGGGCTAGGGACAGGAGAAGGAGTCAACAATAGGAATGGAGAGGAGGCACGGCTGGGGGAAGGGACAAGGCCACAGGCAACATCGCAATGGGGTCAGAGTCAGGGGACGAACGGTGGATTTCATCGTTTCAACTCTAAAATCCCCTGTGGACATGGTATTAGAAGCAAATGGACCTGATTTAATCGTAAAAAAGTGTTTGTTCTTAAATGTAACTTTTTACCAACCAAATAACGCATACAGCATATCGCAATGCGTTATAAATTATTAACGTCACAAAAGGGCGTTTCTCAAGCGAGGATTTAACCAAGCGGCCTCTTGTCCTACCCCGTGAGCTACGGCGCCTCTAGACGCAAGACGCTGACGTTTCCATACAGTACGTACCTTGTGAGGCGTCGCCATCAATCCCCATCCCCTGGATTCCATTCCCCTGCCTCTCATGCCCCCCTTTCCCCCCGTTGAGACTTCATGTAGCCCCCCCGCTTGTCAAACAGTCACGCAATACCCATACAGTACGTACCTTGTGAGGCGTCGCCATCAATCCCCATCCCCTGGATTCCATTCCCCTGCCTCTCATGCCCCCTTTCCCCCCGTTGAGACTTCATGTAGCCCCCCCGCTTGTCAAACAGTCACGCAATACCCTTTGGCAAGGTCAATGCCACGGCTAGAGGGCTAAGATCAGCGGTCAGGCTAGGATCAGAGACAAGGGACAGCGATGAGGCAGAGTTCGGGGATTGAGGAGGTATGAGAGTTAAAATTATGGATTGGTGCAGGGTTAGGCTAATGCAAAGGGCCAGGGTCAGGGCAACGGCGAGGATCGCACGAAGGTAGAGGTAGGGCTGGCCAAACGTAGACAGAGTACGGTGAGCAGGAGTTGGTGGTGCAGGGCAAGGTAGCAGCCTGGCGCTGTGCCACGTGTGAGGTGTCTTGGGCTGAAGTGTGGGAATTGGTGTCTGTGAAGTCGCCCCTGGGTTGGAGAATGTGGCTCATGATGGCCAACACTGCAGCAGTGGGCTCTGGATTCAAGCGGGGGGCGGGGGGGGGGACGAGAGGTGACATTCAATGCATGGTTTTGACTAAACTGACAAAAAGCAGCACTTATTAAATAGAAGTACTAGACATGAATTAATAATTGATTGTAAACTAGAGTTATTATTTTCTTTGTTTTTAAATTATGCCTGAAAATGAATATATAATGGAATGTATGCATATAAATATGCGCTGTATGCATAATATAAATATCAATGATTATAACACAAATAAATTATGCAATGCGTTTATCGGATTCATCAAATTATGAAAATACTTCTGATAGTTTCGGAAGTCAAATGTGACTTCAGGCTCTCAGCGTCCTTCAGCCCAGTGCGCGCCAGAGGCTCAATGTGTCAATTGAGGTTCCTTCACGAGGCAACGGTCCATTGAGATGCATTACCCTTTGAACACTGTCCTGTAACCAAGTGAGCCACCAGTGCAATCACATCTTATAGATGAATGGCCTTTACATTATCTGGCGAGTGCCAAACAGGATTCATGAGTCAATCTTGATTTGAAGCTTTCGTGACTGCAGGAATCCATACCGAAAGAACCAAAGAGTAAGAATGCACTAGCTCTTGATCCGTGGTCCTTTAACCAAATTCATGATTCCTTGATTAAAGACTTCAGCGGAGGGCGTGAGTGTGTGTGAGCACAAACATGTATTACCCTTTATTTAATCTGGTTGAAGGACTTTGATGTGTGGTGGTGAAGTAAATGTATTATTTAAACAACCCCGCTGCTACTATGAAAATAAGAATCGGGATTACCCTTTCCGGCAATGAAACCGGTGTTAAGATGTTTAAACACCAAATAGATCAATTTGCAAGGAATCGGGTCCGCATTAACCACACGTACTTGTGGCAAACATGCAAACAAACATGCTCTGATAATATATGCATTGTGTTTGAAACTGATTGCCCTACACCACATACGGTCTACTTTATGGCATTTTCTCACCAGTGTCAGACCAGAGAACACCTGTTTTATTGCCAGATAGGGTAAAACATATTCTTATTTTTCATACTAACGGCTAGTGTGAGGTGGGGTTCGTGGATTATACAGAGACGTGGGGAATCACCATTTCGAACGAGTGATTATCTGGCGCATCACAATGAATGCGGTACAACTGGCAGGTATTTGACCAAAAATATCTGTAGGGGGCAGTAACGCTGTTTCACTGCAGACACTATGCACCGTGGCTGGGAGCCGCTGATGGATATCGGAGTACCGTCAAAGACATGGATCCCTCCTCAGGGTCGAATTATTGAACCCCCGAACGATCTCTAAAGTTGTCACCTGAACACTTACATACAACGTATGCAAATTGAAAATAAATAATTGCAACACAATTCGATGCTTGCATCGTCAACGTTACACATTCCTGCGGAGGGAGCTGGTAGGAACGTTGGGTTGCTCGGTCAATGGCCAGGGTCAACGGCGGCGTGGTGTATTCCGCAAATATGCCCGACTGTGAGGGCGGGCACAAGCCGGCGTGAGTAGGTTAAACGTTGAGTTTTATAAGGGCACCACGGGGTGACCAGCCCCTCCCCACCCAGCCCCTCCCCACCCAGCCCCATCACCCCCCACCCAGCCCCTCCCCACCCTCCCCACCCAGCCCCTCCCCACCCAGCCCCTCCCACCATCCCCTCCCCACCCAACCCCACCCTCCCCACCCAGCCCCTCCCCACCCTCCCCTCCCCACCCAGCCCCTCCCTCCCCACCCAGCCCCTCCCTGCACGACGGACACAGTAATCCCCTGTGGGCTGGTGTAACCAGGAGGTTCCTACCAGTAATAGTCTGATCTTAAAAAGCACTGATTGTGTCACGATAAGACTGTTCGAGACCACCATGGCTGCAAATGAACAACTCTGTTTTGCTGTCCGAAGACGAGTGGATCTGGGCGCCACGATGGGCTGGTATGCAAGGAGTTATCGTGGGTTCGATCCCAAACCTGGCGCCTGTATATTTGGAGTTTGCGTGTCTCTTTACCTTTAGTCGCGTGGATTTTTCTCTGGGTCCTCTGGGTTTCCCCTCCCTATTTAGAATCAACACGGGTTTAGAGAATTTCGCCTGCTATATATCTGCACATGTTACGCGCCTTCGTTGAACTATCATTTGTGGCCAGGTCGCTTCTGAATAAGAGCTGTATAGTCCAGTGGGACCTTACCTGGTGAGTGGAAAATAAAGTTTAGTTTAAGTTGACATCTCACCGAATAGCAGCAGAAGAAGACGAGTGCAGACTTCGTGATGACGCACAAGCAACAAGAATCAGTTCGCAGGTTGTATTTCGTATTATATCTCCACACCACTGCGGATTGCACTGATTCACATCAGCTTGGATTCTATTAATTCACACCATTATAGAGTTATCTATGCACAACACTATACAGTTTACATATCGACGCCACGACACATGCCAGAGATTACACACATTTACTCGGGCCCAAATGGGCATCTGGCAGAGGTCGCAACCGGGTACCCGATACCCGTACCCTACCCGATACCCGGCTACCCGTACCCGGCCAGGTACGGGTACGGGTACCCGTTTGCGACCCTGGGTGCGGCCGGGTACGGGTACGGGTAGGCCGTGAGTCACTGGTGAGTAACCGTTTGTCACTCATTTCGGGTAGGGTACGGGTAGCGTACGGGTACCCGTACCCGTACCCGGCCGGGTACGGGTACCCGTTTGCGACCCTGGTGCGGCCGAGTACGGGTACGGGTAATGAATCAAACCCCGTTTGCGACCTCCGGCATCTGGTGCGGTGTGTAAATCCTGCATGAGCACAGGTGCGTGGTGCTGCTCTCTATGAAGTGCTCCAGCGCGCCCCCAGCTGTCGGGATGCAACAACACTCACAGTCTACTCTTGTGGACATAGCAGTGATGATGATACTACTGGTAGGAACCTCCTGGTTACACCAGCCCACAGGGGATTATTGTGTCCGTTGTGCAGGGAAGAGCTGGGTGGGGAGGGACTGGGTGGGGAGGGAGGGGGGGGCTGAGTGCGGAGGGGCTGGGTGGGGAGGGTGGGGTGGGGAGGGGAGGGGCTGAGTGCGGAGGGGCTGGGTGGGGAGGGGAGGGTGGGGAGGGGCTGGGTGGGGAGGGGCTGGGTGGGGAGGGGAGGGTGGGGAGGGGCTGGGTGAGGAGGGTGGGGCTGGGTGGGGTGGGCCTGGGTGGAGAGGGCCTGGTCACCCCGTGTTGCCCTTATAAAACTCAACGTTTAACCTACTCACGCCGGCTTGTGCCCGTCCTCACAGTCGGGCATATTTGCGGAATACACCACGCCGCCGTTGACCCTGGCCATTGACCGAGCAACCCAACGTTCCTACCAGCTCCATCCGCAGGAGGAATGTGTTTTTTTATTATCGATTCTACGGGCGGATCTGTGGCGCGACGTTTAGTAACGCTGCGCTATCGTTAGGGCGGCATGCGTTCAGGCTAACCAACGTAAGTGGGGCAAGTGGTATCTGAACCCGTCCTGGGCCACTCCTTCAAATGGTTTAAACAATCCCCCCCACCCCATCCTGCAGAGTGAGCTGCAGCGAAACAGTTGCGACGAGACACGTACAACTCGTCCATTCCACGCCCGATTACTTGTGAATGGTAGCGCTATACTCTGCCGATATCGGTTACTGAATCTCGCCCACGCCCGGCCACGTTTTGTGCTGATCACGGCGTGTTAGTCATCAAGAGAGGCCACGTGCGCGTTATGCAAATGAGCGGTAACTCGTCGGTTGAAGGGATAATGAGGGTAATTAGAGAGGGAGGCAGGAGTGAGGCTCCCACTGTCACTCAGCGGGGAGCGCCGCACAAGGCCGCTTTGTCTCGGCCTGCGGGCAACGCGTGCACCAGCCCTGACCCGGGCGCGAACTCGTCGGCACAGGCCTGCCGAACGCGGAGCAGCAGCGCTGCCAATATCCCTCTGCCTTCTTCGTGTTCTTGTTGTTGCTGTTTCTCCTCATTTGAAGTCCACTTACGCAAGCTGAGCCATGTGGCATTACGAGTCGAACGTATTCATGCGGAGGTGCCGGAGGCAGCGATCAGAGCGTCCGCCCTGTGCGAGAGAATGATGACCCCTGGGAGATGTCACAGAACTCCTTCAGAGGTCACTTCGAGTGGCTCTCGAATCACGATCGGTGGCGCAACCTTCTCACACCTCCCACAACCTTCTCACACCTCCCACAACCTTCTCACATCTCGCAAAAAAACCTTCACACATCTGACATGCCCCGCAAAGAGTGTTCGTCGCGTGGCACACCTACACGTTTCATCTTCAGACGTGGAATGTGCTGAAGCGACAAAGCAAACTGAATGTGGTGGCTTATTGTGCAGTGGTCGGCGATGGGGCCGAGATGCAGGCTTCACCACGGCTGGATGAAACCCAGTTTCGAACCTCGGGCAGAGGTCGCAAACGGGTTTTGAATCCTTACCCGTACCCGTAC